ATGATTAAGCCACTATGCAGTATATTCTGGATGTGAAATCACATTTTGTATGCCGTGACGATGCTTAGGGAATGAATGTAAATTAAGTTAAAAAAAAAAAGAAAAGTTTCAGGAAAAAAAAATCCATTCGATGACCGCAGTAAGATATATAGCCCCAGTTAGGTGCTACTTTATAGGATGCCTAAAGTTAGACTTGTGTTCATGGAAATGTATATATCAGCTGTGTTTGCTATGAAAATATTTAGATTAATTAAGATCTTTAGTAATTCAATAAAATGTGGGGGAAAAACAGTATAGAAAGTAAACATAGATACCAGAGACAGTGTGGGAAGAGAGTGGGAGATGGCAGAGGGTAAGAGATAGGGAATCAAGGATGGGGGGAAAAAAGCAAAACATACAGGAAACAAGAAATGGAAAATTATTTGTTCACAATAACATGTATGTTGATGTGCTTGATTGAGACAATATACAGTGTACTCTGGATGGAAAAAAAAAAGAACTAAAAAAAAAAAAAAAGAAAAAAGAATAGTTTGATGATGTGGGAGATAGTGAAAAATAAGGAAGCCCAATAGGGACAAGAAGCAGGAGAGGAAAAACTGGGGCATAATGAGACCATCCATTGTCTTGGCAGTGCAGTGAGTAAAGGCAACCTATTAATAAAGCCTCTGAGGCCTACTCTAGTCTGTGGTGGACCGTCATGCTCTTATGGTTGGCCTGATTGCTCTGATTCTGCCTTGGGTTAGAGTGGGACCTGGAAACGTAGAAAGAAAAGAATCACAAGAAACAAAGCCAGTCATATTTTCAGAAACTTTCAGTTATAATTCTTTGAGTGAATAAAGCCTATTTCCACACGAGAATCAAAGGCGGTATTGAGGACAGTGCAGTGGTCTAGGACACTGAATAATGCTTCATTAATCACATCTTTCTGCTTATATTTCTCACCTACACAAGGGGAAAAGGAACTTCTTTCTCTGAAAGTTTTCTGGGTCTCCTGATAAAGAGAAATCCAGTCTAAAACATAAGCTATTGTTTAAATTTCAACTATGGACTTCAAACTTAGGCCTTAATAAATTACATTTTTGCAATTTTTCCTTGCACTTAGTCTCTCAATGAATTTTTGGATGTGGATGGAATGTAACCTAATTGCTTAGAATACAACAATATAGTAGTGCTCACTATTTTGTGGGTTGACTGGGAAGTTCCAGATTTGGCCTGCATTCACTCATGTGGCTTTATGTAGCTGGGGTTTTCTGCTAGGTTGGATGGCGTAAGATGACTCACTCACAGGTCTGGCAGCAGAGGCTCTCAAGCTAGCCAAATTCACTTCCCTTCCGTATGGCCTCTCATCTTCTAGTAGGCTAGACCACAGTTTGTGTGTGGAACTTGCCCTTACATTCAGGACAAGTTCTACAAGAGCAAAATAGAAGCTACAAGGTCCTCAAAGCCTTGGTTTCAGCTCATACCTTATTATGCTCTGCTGGTGGAAGAAGTCACAATGACAGCTTATATGCAAAAGCTGGAACACAGATTCCATCTCCTCACGGGAGGAGTTCAAAGTCACGTGCCCATATTCAACTTACCATATTTCACCCTCTGGACACAATTATTGCCATACTATCCACGTACAAAATAATCTAATATGGGCTAAAGTCCTAGGTTCATGTCTTAAAGGGCCCTGCCCCTCCATCAACATGAGGCACCAGTCCCTGTGATCTGGGCCGATTGATTGGGGGTGGATTACGGTGTGAAGACACTGTTGGGGAGTGCCTCTCTCTCTTTCTTTCTCCATCTCTTTCTTTCATGGATGAAATAAGCTTTAAAAACAAAGACAATTTTGATGAACTAACAGAATGTTCAAATAGTGGCTCACTCTCTGAAATATTTTGTGATAGTAAAAAATTTAAGCAGAAAAGAAGCATTTAAAATTAGGAGCTTTAAGGAACCCCTAGAATTAATTTTCTGAAAGCATTAGCTTTAATTTCAGCATAAATAAAAAAAGGATAGATGGTAAGTAAAATGTTTTAATTGGAAGAAATGATTAAAAATATAAAATTGACTGCAAAAAATGAAAAATTTCACATCATAAACAAAATGACAAAGTATCCTTAATATATAAGAATCCTTGGGAACCAGCAGTTAGCGTAATGGCTATGTCACTGGACTCCCACGTAGTCGACCGCGGTTCGTGTCCCAGACCCGGTGGCTTAAAACGCACGCCGGGTGCATGTGCGTGCGTGCCCAAAATCCCGAGAGGAGAATGGAGGAGAAGGGATTGCGGCGTGACCATCCCCCCCGGGGGGTGATTTCTCGCTTTCTGTCTCTATGTCTCTCTCTGTCTGGCGAGCGCACGTGCCCTACAGTGAAAATCTCTCCAAAAAATAATATATATATATAAAAATCCTTACAAACCAGTAAGAAAAAGTCGAATTGTTCTAAATAAAAACAGACAAAATCTAGAAATAAACTAATAGTAGGGACCAGCAGTTAGCGTAATGGCTATGTCGCTGGACTCCCACGTAGTCGATCGCGGTTCGCGTCCCAAACCCAGTGGCTTAAAACTCATGCCGGGTGCGTGTGCATGCGTGCCCAAGATCCCAAGAGAATGGAGGAGAAGGGATTGTGACGTGGCCATCCCCCCTGGTGGGTGATTTCTCGCTTTCTGTCTCTCTGTCTCTCTCTGTCTGGCAAGCGCACACGCCCTATAGCAAAAACCTCCTCAAAAAAAAAAAAAACACAAAAAAGAAACTAATAGTTTCTGATACATTTAAAAAATGTTCACTCCCCCAAATATTTTCAGTCATCAATAATAGGAAACAGGGATTCTGCTCATAGGAATGCCAACTGAACTTTCAGGAAGGCAATTTGGAAATACTTACCAAAAAGCTTGTATATATGTATCCATTATCCTGAGAGGAGAATGAACAAAAAGGAATTGCAGCTTGGACATCCCCCTGGGGGATAATTTCTCACTTTCTGTCTGTCTCCCTCTGTCTCTCTGGCAAGAACACATACCGAATATCAAAAATTCCTCTATTTAAAAAAAAGAAAGAAAGAAAACAGTCAGTGATGTACTGGAAAGATTCATTTAAGTCTTGTTTTCTTTTCTCTATTTATTTATTTATTTATTTTGAGAGAGATTTTTGCTATAAGGCATGTATGTTCGCTCGAGAGACAGAGAGACAGAAAGTGACGAATCACCCCTCAGAAAAGAATGGCTACCCAAAATCCCTTCTCCTCCATCCTCCTCTCAGAATTTTGGGCATGCGAGCATGCACACATACCCTGAGTAATTTCTAAGCCACCAGGTCCAGGACTAGAATTGCGGTTTACTATGTTGGAGTCCAGCGACGTAACCATTACACCATATGCTGGACCCCGATAAAGTCTTATTTATGGTACGGAAAACTAACATTTTATGTCCAATGGGGGGGGAATTAAATTGGTATGTTTGTACGTTTATATTGCATAGTTATTAAAATTATGACATGATATAAAATTTATGATATATTGTGATATGGTTTGAATAACCGTTTGTTGCCCCCAAAAATCCAAGTTCTGGAATGTTAGCTCCCAGTGCAATAGCTTTGGAGGTTGGTGAGACCTTTAAGAGACAGGGTTATGTTCTGACTTAGTAGCAGAAACTGGCCAGATACCTAGCCCATGCTCCTGGACTTCCCAGTCACCAAAATCATGAGCCAAATAAACCTCTATTCCTTGTAAATCACGTAGGCTCAGGGGTTGCTGTTTAGAAACAGACTAATACATATTTTTAGGTGAAAAGTAGGCTATACATGAATACATATAAACACATATTGTATGATTTCAATTTTTGTTTTGCTTTGTTTGCTAGAAGGCACATGTATTCATAAGAAATAGACAGGAGAAAGCGTCCCCCTGCCCCAGGGGACATGGTAACACTGCAATCTCTTCTCTATTATTCTATCCTGTTTGGATTTTATGCATGTATGCACATGATCCCACTGTTCCTCAAGCTGCCAGATTTGGGACCTGAATCACACTTTGGCCCTTCTGAAATCCAGCTCCCTTAACCACTAGGTCAGGGGACAGCCTGATCTCAATTTTTATATTATTTTTAAAATAATTATATACAATCTTTGAAATAGTAACAGTGGTTACATCTAGATAGGGGGGAAAAGATTGATAACTTTTTTCATTCTCTTTCTTTATATTTTCCAATTTCTACCATGATTTTTTTCTTTTTTTTGGAATCTATACTTGGAGTAATTTTCATTATTTCTTATTTTCATAATTTATGGTCTTCAACCTTTTGATTTCAAATAAACATTAACAGCTCCAACATTGGTGGCTCTAGGGCAAGGGCCTGTGTGAATTTGCCAATATTTCTAAAGTGGGAGCAGTCCAATAAACCATACCATTGGAGCACTGGGAAACCACTGGCAAAGTCTTAGTGGAGACTCAGAAGTTTATGTAAGCTTAATGATAAAGACATGTAACCCAAGAAGTAAAGAAGTATTTCTGTTTATTGTAATAAATAATCAACATTAAAATGTTAAAAGCATATAAAAAACAAAAATTAAAATAGTGAAACTGTATAAAATAAGTATACAATTAAAAATACATTGAGCATCCTCAGAACTATATAAATATAGGATATTTACAACATTTTTAGAAATGTTAACACCAATTCTTTGAATAACATTTGAAATTTGTTTATAATTTTCAAACCAAAGAATGAAGTAGTAAATATTAACTCCACCCAATTAATAATGGTCCTAATGAGAATGATTCTGTGTTATTTCTTGCTTGCCTTTTCTAATACCCAGTCAATCACCTAGAAGGAGAAAAAAATATATGATTATGGCATATTCCTATTAAAAATACAAATGATAGAAAAATACATTCAAAAGTTCATGGAAGAAATTTTTAAATAAAAAGTAGTATATCTAAACCTTATACTTAAAAACACACTTTATTTTCTAGTTAAAGAACTCTTTTTGCTGGACTTCAAATACTGACACTGTTCTCATAGGAAAAATAAAGTTTCTGCTCTACTTTCTCACCTTTATTTGGAAATGTTTTCAAAGGGCCACTCAAAGAAATTAAAACAAACTTGGAAAAATAGCTACTGAAAATGGATTAATTTTCTAGCTCTTTAAATTATTTTTTAAGTATCTTGAAGAGTTTTCATGGGGACAGAGTTTAACAGCAACAGTGACTCTGAAATAAAATATCAATTTAGTTGAATGCAGTTTCTTGGGAGTAACTTACTTACCTGTACTGCGTTGTTATTTGCTGCCTTCTTCATTTCTTCAAAAAGACCCCTTGAAGTTTTAAGATCCTACACAGAACAAAAATACAGCATTTTGCAATTTATACATTAAATTTCAGAGAACGATAGGTTATTACCAAGTAAATTTGAGAAGATCCTGAATTATTCTCTAAGTATCAATGTGATTAGAAAAATACGACTAAAAAAAAATCAAATGAATTATAATTTAGCTCCATCCTGAAATATAAAAATACTCTAACCTAAATATATACACATATACATAAAACCAAGTAGCTATCATACTTTTAATAGCAATGAACTAATCTAAGTCCCATCCTCCACCACGAGTATCCATTAATGCTTCTTCATTACTCAGGAAATGAATATATAGTTTGTATTTACTTTTCAGATATCAAATCTCTCCTCCCAACCCCCTCTCCTTTTTGGCAATTTCACTCCACCACAAAGAGGGATAACACAGGGAAGGAGACTGAAATCCCTGAATTTTAAAATTAGTGATTTTATCAAGTGAGGTTATAAAGTATAAAATAAATAAATAAATAAATAAATAAAAAGCCTAACTGTATTAAGAAAAGAAAAAAAGAAAGCAGTCCTCTGCTCTTTCTCAAAGTTATGCTCCACGGAGAGACACTTTCAATTCTCTCAGCTGATCCTCTTATACCTTCAGGTTTCTACCTAATGCGCTTAGACTGCTACTTGGTGGTTTAATAGTTACAGACAGTGACTGCCGATACCAGTGACAACCGTTATGTATTCAGGTCTCATTCACATCCCTTCTCTTCTCTTCCTCTCAGTAACAGCTGCACCACAATTTTTGATTAGTAAATAGTCAGTGTTTGCATCAGTGCAGCCAGGAAAATACTGTTTAGTCATGAGCTAATTAATACACTGTGGTTATAATTTCTTTCTCCTCCAACATGCTGTTTATCCTGTAGTTAAACTACCTGCTTATTTTTTTCAGTTGCCTAGTTTTCCATGTATATTATTCTGTTTTTTTTTTTTTTCCCCTCATCCTAAATGCCAGCAATCGGTTGCTTTAAATGTACGGCAAGTGCTTTTTAAACACTGAGGCATATTAGACAATCTCTCAGTCTAGTTTTTTTATTTTGTTTCATTTTACTTTTGTTAACTTGGAGGTCTTCCTCTTATAGTCTGCTCTAGTTTGTGTAGGTGTGCCCTAGGCCTGGTCCTGTTAGGACCTGTCTAACCCCCTCTAGGTTAATTTTACTTCACTTCTTGACTCAGTCTCCTATTCTGTTCAACTTCATCTTTGAGCAAATTCTTTAAAAGGGTAAGACAAAATTTTTTAAAACTCTATGTTTGAAAATATCATTGTTGACTTCTCATACCTGACTGCATTCTAGAGAGGGTATAGGGTAGTGTGGGTAAATCACTTTCCCTTAGAATCTGAAGACCCTTTTCTACTGTCTTCTACCATAAGATGATTTTTGTGGAGAATTCCAACGCCACTCTGATTCTTGATTCTTTATAGATATAGTTATGTTTTCTCCTAGAATCTTTTAGGAAATATTCTCTCCAAGGCAGGTGGTGTCAAACTCCACAATGATGTGGTTTGTCATAGAATTTTTACTGACTAGATTCTTTCCAGCAAGAGGCATGTGTCCTTTGGTTCTCAGAAACTGGTATATTTTTGACAATTTTCTGTCCTCTATGTTTTTGAAACTTATTAGCATACTGTATATATTTGGATTATTCTTCTAATTTTCATTTTCTCTGTTCAATGTTTTTGTCATTTGGTCCTAATTTCTGGAAAATGATTTCATCTCAACTACTCAGCTTTTCTTTTCATCATCTTTCTAATTTGAAGGAGCTTTCATGTTTTATGCACTTGTTTTAAACAGCATCATGTTCTAATTTTATAGATGCAAGTACCTTCTTTCTAAGACCACTAGTTTGTTTTTTTATTTATTTCTTCAGTGGTTGCTATAAGGAATGTGTGCTCACCAGAGACACAAAGAGAGAGAGAGAATGTAAGGAATCACACCCTGAGGTGGTGTGGTGGTGGCCATGCTGCAATCTCCTCTCCTCTTGGAATTTTGCACACACACACACACACACACACACACACACATGTGCCCAGCTTTGAGTCTCAAGCTGCTGGCTCCAGGAACAAACTGTACAGCCAGTCATGTGAGATGTAGTGACCTAACTTCTATGCCACCTGCTGGTCCAAGACTTACAATTTTTATAAAGTTCTCTTCAATTTTCTGCTCCTTCAGAGTTCTCTTTATTACTCTATGTTTTGGCATTACTTGTATTAGAAGCTTTTCTCGAAGTCTGCTGATCTTTATCCAGTCATATTTATATTTTTAATTAATTCATTTTTTAAGAGAGATTTTTGCTATAGGGTGTGTGCACTCGCCAGAGAGGAAGAGAGAGACAGAGGCAGAAAGTGAAAAATCCCCACCCAGGGAAGGTGGCCATGCCACAATCCCTTCTCCATTCTCCTCTCGGGATCTTGGGCATGCACGTACATGCACCTGGTGTGTTTGAAGCCACCGGGTCTGAGACTGAACTGTGGTCAACTACATGGGAGTCCAGCGACATAACCATTACACCATCTGCTGGTCCCTATCCAGTCATATTTAAAGAGACACCAAAAATCTTACTGGAAGTTCTAAGCAGAGCTTGTTCATTGCCTACAAGGTGACCAGCTGACTTTCACCACAGCCTCCAGATTTTTCTCCTAGAGACTATTTCCTGTTCTTTCCTAAAGGTCAGGGGAGAGAACTATGTGTAGTAAACCTTGTGTTAACACCGTAGGAGAAGGGCAAGGAGAACAAGTTGGAAGTTCTTCAGTTCACTATTTGTAAATCTTGTTACTTCCCTATTTTCCACCAGACAACTTGCCCTGCTCTCCTAGAATGTTCAAATCCTGGGCACCTCACGGACTCTTCTGGTGGAATAGGCATGATTCTCACTGCATTTCACTGGGCAGCACGTTTAGGTTGTACCTTCTACTCTGCTGTTCCACACTTCCGTGCACTTTTGATTCTTTAACAAGTATATTTGTACAATGCTTTCTTGCATTTTTTGCCTTTTTTTGGTAGATTAACCCTAATTTTCTTAAGAGATTTTAGAAAGGAGGGCAACTAAATGCATGTGGTCAAACTGCAGTATTAACTAGGAACCCATGTGTGACTGTGATTCAAGTCAGAAATTCTTACGGCTGGAGCTAAAGTAACATCATCTAAGTTTTAGAATATTTTAATCTCTGTGGCTGATCTGTCCAAAGTCTCACACCTAGCTGGCTCCAAAATCAGAAACTAGGTGTTGATATTTAATCCATTATACTTTCAGTATAAAATAAAATAAAATAATTAATTTTAATTAATAAATGTCTTGAAGATTATGATTAACTTATGTAGCTTTTATGTCTGAGGATTAAAAAAATCAAAGAAATCAAATATAATATGTTTTGGCTTGGGCTGGCTCTTTGGCCTAGTTGGTAAGGGAGTTATATCCCACATAGTTATGCAAAATGAGTCCTGGCCCCCCGATGGCCTGAAAAACACACTGAGTTCATGTGTATGAGTACTCAAAATCCCAACAGGATGGAGAAATGGAAGAGAAGGGGTTGTGGCAGGACCACACCTTACTGGGGCAAGTGCTTTTTCCCTATCCCTCTCTCTTTGTCTCTCTCTAGCAAATACACATGCCCTCTGGCAAAATTAAAGGAAAAAAAAAGAAGAAAAAAATTTGGCTTTAATTTTCTTATCTTTAGGTTTTAAAAATCTGGCAATATAAATATGCTATCAATATAAAAAATAATCACTTAAACTTTTTTTTACATTGAACAGGAACATTAGAATATGAACAACGTTTTGCTATTAGTAGAAAAGATATTGTACCTTAAGGTACAACTTAGAGATTTCAAAGAGCCTCTGACTGCAGGCAGTGAAACATTCATGAGTCTCGGGAATACTATGTTTCTTCAGGGTCTCCGTAACTACTTCTTTCAGTATCTAGAACAGAACATAACAGGTAATTAATGATTCCTGGGAAAGGTACAAACATTATTTCAACTTCAGAGTTTAATCCTGTGAATTACACGATCATTTAGATAGGCTCATAAAGACAAAACAACTACAGGGCCAGTGAGTGGCATGGCAGTTAAGGGGTTGGACTAACACATGGCGGACCATGATTCAGGTCCCAGACCTGGTGGCTTAACTTTCTCACCCCCCCATCTCTCTCTCTCTCTCTGTCTCTCCTGTGAGCGCACACAGTCTATAGAAAAATTAAATAATAATTAAAAAATCTAAACAATTCTTTCAAAATGAAAAAACAACTGAGAAAATATCTATAACATTTACATGGTTCTATATGTCACAGGATTAGTATGTTAGCAGGAAATGACTGAAGTGTCTCAAGAAAGAAATTTAAATCATGAGTTCTAAATTTAAATCTGAGTGTAAAAGTTACATATAGCAGAGATACATATGCATATTTTTTCACTGTGGGAAATTTCACACAAGAGACAGTAATAACAAATGCCTATCTTGATCTACCTACCAACTTGATTCACAGAGGATCGATTTGCGGTTAAATTCGTCATTTCCACCCCTACCCACTTTCCTACCATTTTTCTTACAGTGGATTATTTTAAAGTAAATTCCACATGTCATTTCATTTCACTTATAACATTTTAAAGAAATTAAATAAAGGAATTTCTTCACACACAGAATAAGGAAGATGGGAAATAGATGCGTACCCGTGTGTGTTTCTGTGACCTCGATTCCTTCATCTGCCGTGATGATTTTGATTCACGCACACTTTTTTGACTTGAACTGGCCTTTGCAGTGATTTTTGGAGTTTCACAGCCAGGAACTTGAACCAAGGGACCAGCCACTGAGAACGACCGCTGTTCCCGTGGCTTTCTGGATGAAACCACACGATGGTGAGTACTACTGGCACTTGTTAGCGAAAGAAGAGAATCGGAGCTTTCCGATTTTGCAAGTCTATCGGAGGCAGAAAATCAAGGACAGAGACTAAGTGAATTTACAATTGAGCCCATTTTCTGTCTTATATGTTAGTTACATCCATTCAAACATAAATTTAAAAAACAAAATTTCTTGCTACTACTGCTTTAAATAAGCAATCAACATTATATTATAAAGCTGCTCCTTCAATTCTTTAAATGAGTGACTAAAACATAGAAGATAAGGAATAACAAAGAATTTCAGGGAAAAGCAACTGGTGACATCATGAGCCTCTCCCTCCACTGACAACCAATATCTTGTCGTACCTACACAACTGCCTGTGCAAAATAACTAATGGTGTTAAATACAAATAAAACCAAAAAGTTGGTTCTCTGTCATTCTTTATAAAATTTTTACATTTGCCCATCAGGGCCCAATTTATCCTTAACCAAGATTGGGTATGGCCTTCAGTTCTACTCCCCATAGGCCAATGTGTAATTTTTTTCCTTAGACACGTATCTTTTTATTAGTCAAAAGTCAGAAGCAGGAAATAAAAATACAGTACCCAAAGTGTTAATAATTTTCTTTTTAGCTTTATCAGGTGTAATAAGTACCTTGAATTTACAGTCCTTGTGAAAATAATTTATTCTTCTGTGTCAGGTAAATAGTAGTCTGATATTTTTAATTGTTCTCAAAAATATTTGAAAGTTTGGTTACCAGATATTTCATGTTTTTTCAAAAATTTAAATATAATAGGAATTAAAGCTTACCTTAGATGCCAAAGTTCTAAATTATTTATTTTTTTTGGGGGGGGGAGAGGTTTTCACTATAAGGCATGTGTGCTCACCAGACATAGAGACAGAAAGTGAGAAATCACCCCCCAGGGGGGATGGCCACACCACAATCCCTTCTCCTCCATTCTCCTCTCAGGATCTCGGGCACGCACGCACACGCACCTGGCGTGAGCTTAATCCACCGGGTCTGGGACTCGAACCGCGGTCGACTACATGGGAGTCCAGAGACATAGCCATTATGCTGACTGCTGGTCCCCCAAAGCCTAAATTTGACAAAAGTTCTAGATACATACATTCAACAGAAACTAAGAGTGTTTATTACATTAACTTCTAATTGCTGATCAAGTATTTGGACATTTCCATTTAGCTAGCAAAGAAGTATCTGGAAAAATTTTATTTACGTAGGTTTTAAAGCTATATTTAATATGTAACAAGTGGCTTTAAAGTGATACCTCAAGAAACCCTTCACTTAAGTGGCCAATACAGGCAGGAAACAGAGGGAGAGGGAAGGAGCTAACAACACACTTCTCAAGCTTTTCAACACCTTCCACGCAGAGCAGCTCGCTGCTTTAATCTACTGGGTGAGATCTCCAGTGCTCCATGACTTCAAAACTTCATAATCTATTGTGCTAATGGACTGTACAATAGCATCTAAAGCTAGAAACAGTGTTTTTTTCCAAGTCATTTCTCTTTATAACTTATAGGAAAATCATCAACTGCTCACAATAAAAACAAACTTCTTGGCATGAAGGAATTAATCTGAAATCTATCCAGAAAGCAACTTACAGATACAAAACATTAATATGAAAAAAAAAAACTCCCCTGGAAAACAAAAATACTTTCTTTCAAGAGTCTATTTTTGTTCACCTTTTCGAGGGATAAAGGCAGTTCCGATCTGTAGCTCTCCTTTTCAACCGGGATGCTTCAGTTCGGAGTTCACTTTGTAAAGCTTCTTCCTCTGGGACACTCCCAGGCTCCGACAAAACTGCGGGAGATGGAAGAGGGCTCAACACAGCAGGTACTGGAAAGCTCTCTCTGGTCCAGGTGGTTTGCGTTTCATAACGAATAAGACGAGACTGAAGTTCTGAAAATCCCCCATCTCTCTCTAAAGCTCTTTGGTTATCTAGGCAGTATCTAAAAGGAGGGAAAGATCATTAACACCAAATATTATCTCTCTCAATTAGAAAATAGCAAGACACTTACTTAAAAAGCTCTTGCTGAGCTTCCTAATAATTGTTGAAGGTTGGGTAGATGGCCTACTTCCCTACAAGTTCAGTTTTTTCCTATTCTGCTATATGACATGGAAAAAGATTAAAAAAAAAAAAAGGCAGTACAATCTGACTTCCCTTTGTGTTTCTAGGTAACAGATTAAGTTAATCCTTGGACTTATTTTCAAAATAATACAGGTTCTGTCGTAATACTTTCAAAAACTCTACTCACCTCTGATTTCTCAGCATGGCTGATATGTAAGAACGTGAAATGCTGACTTCTGTTACAAAGGGCAGGCTTATTTTCAACACAAAGATTAAAAGAGTATAAAGGTATTCTAACCTGGTTCACCAAACAGCTCAGAACATCTTACATTTTTTTCTTTTAAACTCACTTCCCACACTATTGACTGACAGATTTTCCTTCAAACACTTCGGCTGTCTGTGCATCTGGTTTCTAGCTAAATCTGATTCGGGAAATCAATGAAGTGTTAGCTCGACGAATGCTTTTGGACTCAAACTACTCTGTGTTGTTAAATATCCCCAAAATAAGCATATCAGAAAAATCACCTATGGGATGTGTGACCTTGGAAGCTCTTCAATTTCTTTTCTTTCTATGACTAAATCCAGAAAGCACAGTTTTACATAAGTAATGGTAGGACTGTAAAAATTAAAACTTCGAGGGACCAGTAGTTGGCATAATGACTGTGTTGCTGGACTCCCATATAGTTGATCACGGTTCAAGTCCCAGACCTGGTGGCTTAAACACACCGAGTGCGTGTGCATGCATACCCAAGATCCCAACAGGAGAATGGAGAAGGGGTTGCAGTGTGGCTATATCCCTTAGGAGGTGATTTCTTGCTGTCTGTCTCTTTCTGTCTTTTTGGCAACAGCACATGCCCTGTAGCAAAAAACTCTAAAAAAAAAAAAAAAAAAAGAAAAGAAAACCTGACTGTTATCTGTCCTGTTTACCTGTAAAATTTTAAGATGCTTCCTAATATTAGATTTTTGAACCCATAAGCTGTTTGTTTAATTCCCAAGGAATGTATCATGACCTTAGTATCTGATTCCACCTGTAGGAGGTCTTAAGAACTTCTAAGAACTTCATCTTTCCCTTATATCACTTACATATTGAATTTCTAAGAGCACAGACTATAAAACCAGATGCCCTGGATTTGTCACATTCGTCATGCTTCTGTTGCCTCATCTGTAAAATGGTATTTCAATACTTAGCTGAAAGAGCTACTGTGAGGGTTCCTTGAATGGTATATATAAACACTTGGAATCAGTGCCTGGAATATGCAAACCAAGTAGTCAATAAGTGTATGCTAGTACTATTATTACTATTATTATTTATGTGTAACTGAACAGTCAGCCATGTGTGGTCCAGCTATCTAACCACAGACCACAAGCTGGCCCGCTACTATCATCACCATCATTGCTATCTTTCATTATTTCCTGCCTGCTTTCGCCCTTCCCTTCCTCCCTTCCTTTTCTTTTCTTTCATTTCTAGAAGGCATGTGCCCTCATAAGAAAGATAAGGGAGTAAGCACCACCCCCCCCCCACACAGAGAATGGCCACACTACAGTCCCTTCTCCTTCTTCCCTGTCCTGTATGGGTTTTCTGCCTGCTTTCGCCCTTCCCTTCCTCCCTTCCTTTTCTTTTCTTTCATTTCTAGAAGGCATGTGCCCTCATAAGAAAGATAAGGGAGTAAGCACCACCCCCCCCCCCACACACAGAGAATGGCCACACTACAGTCCCTTCTCCTTCTTCTCTGTCCTGTATGGATTTTACGTGCACCTGCACCAGGCATGTGTTTCAAGACACTAGGGACAGAGTTCAAACAGCACAGTCATGTGGGATCTGGTTCTTCCAACCACCAGGCTACAGAGTGGGCCTGATCTGGTTATTTTCTACCATAGTAAATCTTATAGTACATTAATACATACAGCACAGGCTGAATTTAAACCCAGGTTGGTGACTTCAGAGACAACTATCTCCTATATAAAGTTTAAGGACCATCTTACTCAGTAGTTAACACATGGCTGAACACTGGAATCATCTGAAGAGCTTTTAAGAAATAATACACGCTCTGAGTTTCTGACTTAATTGGTCTAAAATAAGACCCAGTTACTAACATTTTTTAAAAAGTTGCCTAGATGATTCTAAAAAAGAAAAGAAAAAGAAAATAAACTAAATACATAAAAACAGAGAACAGTAGTTTATCATAGATAGGCAAGGGGTGCCAGGGGGTGTAGGTCAAGAGGTACTAAGGCCAAGGTATGCAGAATGAATAAATACACAGGTCTAATGTACAGTGTTGGGACTACAGGTGACAGTATGGTACTGTACACTGGAAATTTGCTGAGTAGATTTTAAGTGCTCTTATCACACACCCAAAAAAAGCTACTATGTGAAATGATGGGTGTGTTAATTTCCTTGGCTACAGTATTCACTTCACTATATATAACAACACAGCCTGTCATACACCTTAAAGTTTGTTTTAGAGATTTTTGATATAGGGCATATGTGCTCACTGGAGAAACAGAGAGAGACAGAGAGACAGAGAGTGAGGAATCACCCACTACGGGGATGGCCACACACTGCAATCTCTTCTCCATTCTCCCCTTGAGGTTTTGGATACCCACACACATGAGCCTGATTTGCGTTTTATGTAGTTGGGTCTGGGACTCGAACCATGGTCGGCCTTGTGGAAATCGAGCAACGTAACCATTAGGCCATCTACTGGTCCCAAATATATACAGTTTTTAATAAGTGCTGCCATGATAATTCTTAAGTATAGTTAGAACCGAAAAGTCTCTCATCTAACCTAACAGTTAAATTTAACAGACGAGAAAACAGAATTCTTAAATCAGAAATATTAACTGTGGCAGATCACACACTAGAACCTACATCTCTTAATTCTTAATATTCTGCTGTTTAATAAAGTACATTTCATTAAAAATCAGTAGCAACCCTAAGGATTACTGATGAGCAATTACCTTATTCTATCCTGGATAACTGCAGACCTAGAGAGAAATTAACCATGAATTTTCAGGAAGGAAGGTAATGCCTAATTAGCCTGTATAGAGACAATTTTTGAGAAAAGATACATTTTCTAAGATAAACATTCTTTTCAATGTTAAGATTTTGGTTCTAATATGCAGAATTTTTTCTTCCAGTTTCTTAATCACACCTGTTCATAATGTCATCTCTTCAACTGAATTATGTTGACTTTAATTGACATTTAAAATGTCTTTAAAATGGCTACCATGATTTGCCATTGAAACAAAGTTACTTTGTAAATCAAAAAGGAGAATAAACAGAGAAGCAGAGAAGCCACCGGCCTTCAGAACAAGGTTCCACATGGCTACTATGAACTAGATTTTTAAGGGAATGAAGATTTTCTACTAATAATTCAGCCTCCAACAAACGAGCTAGCGGATTGAAATATTCCCTACTATCTACTGAATCTGCTACACCAGCAAGCACAATAGAACAGCAAAGAGATTCTGGATCACCTCTGTCTGCTTGCTCCTGAACATTAAGGCTGAACCTCAAGAATTTGAAAGAAACACAACATTCATCAGATGACAAGAAATCACCGCCGGATCACGAGAAACATGGGAAAACAAGAAAATACCTCTCCTCCTAGGGAAAAGAGTAACTCTTCATCCACAAGCAGTTCGGTGAAAATCATGGAAATGTCTGATAAGGAATTCAGATCATTCATAATGTCTAAGCTAACAGAGATGGAAGAGAAGAGAGATAATGAACTGCTAAAGAGAAAGGAGAAAGAAATTGACGAGTTCCAAGAGATGAGGAAATTCCTGCAAGATCTAAAAGTGGAATTACACACTTTACAAAAGACTCAAACGGAACTGCTAGAGATGAAGTCTATAATACAAGAAGTAAAAATCTCCCTGGAAAGTATTAAAAGCAGACTAGATCATTCAGAAAATAGAATCTCAGATGTAGAGGAGAAAATGGCCGGCCTAGAAAAATCCACCATGAAGACTGAAAAAATGGCACAAAAATTTGAGAATAATATGCGAGAAGTACTGGATACCATCAAACGTCCAAATATCCGGATAATTGGCATTCCAGAAGGTGAGGAAACCCATAAGGGCATTGATAATCTATTCCATGAAATCCTGCAAGAAAACTTTCCAAACCTAGAGAGGCATTCAAAGATCCAGTCCCAGGAAATACAAAGGACCCCAAATAGAATCAACCCAAGAAGATCTTCTCCAAGACACATTATAACCATGTTGACCATAACTGCAGACAAAGACAAGATACTAAGATTAGCAAGAGAAAAACAGCAAGTTACCTACAAAGGACATCCCATCAGGCTAACAGCAGATCTCTCATTGGAAACAATAAAGGCGAGGAGAGAATGGGAAAATATATTCCAAGTGTTAAGAGAGAAGCAGTTTCAGCCAAGAATACTGTATCCGGCAAGATTATCTTTCAGGTGGGAAGAAAAGACAAGAACATTCTCAGATAAACAAAACCTGAAAGAATTTACCAGCACCAGACCAGACCTCCAAGAAGTTCTCAAGGATGTGCTGTATCAGGAAAACTAAACGCAGATACATGGAAATAAGAGTCCAAAAACTGAGAAAGTAGCTAACTTAATCATAGGGACAAGTCTGGAGTTGAATACTATATCCCAGAATTTAATCAGGAAAATTGAACCAGAACAGAAGATAAAAGTATATGAGACTGATAGGTTCATGCACCTACCATTTGAACAGAATCCTAACCTGTTTCCGGGCTTTAAGCAAAGTTCCTTGGCGGTTCTTTGATTTAAGTTAAAACTGGTTTTCTTAGTAGTAACGAGGGAACTCACCTTTGAAAGTAGTCAGGTTATGTAGGAAATTGTGTGATCAATGCAATGTGGGTGGGAAGGGAATGGAGGA